AGATATTGCGGGTTCAGTTCCAGACCACCACAATAAAGCAAATATCACAATATGGTGAGTCACACAAATTTTTGCTTTCCCAGTGCATATAAAAGTTATGTGTACACTATACTGTATTCTATTAAGTGTGCAATCGCATTATGTCTAAGAAAACAATGTATGTACCTTAATTAAAAAATACTTTATTGTTAAAAAATGCTAACCATCATCTGAGCCCTCAACAAGTCATAACAGTTTTGCTGGTGGAGGGTCTTGCCTTGATGTTAGTGGCTGCTAAATGATCAGGGTGGTGGTTGCTGAAGGTTGGGACGACTGTGGCAATTTCTTAAAATAAGACCACAATGATGTTCGCCACATTGATTGGCTCTTCCTTTCATGAAAGATTTCTCTGTAGCACGCAATGCTGTTTGAAAGCATTTTACCCACAGTAGAACTTCTTTCAAAATTGTAGTCAGTCCTCTTAAACCCTGCTGCTGCTTTATCAATTAAGTTTATGTAATATTCTAAATCATTTGTTGTCATTTCAACCATCTTCACAATGTCTTCATCAGGAATGGACTCCATCTCAAGAAATCACTTTCTTTGCTCATCCATAAGAAGCATCCTTATGCTCCTTATCCCTTAGAACTTGATTATGCAATTGGAGCAGTGCAGTCACATCTTCAGGCTCCACTTCTAATTCTAATTCTCTTGCTAGCTCCACCACATCTGCAGTTACTTCCTGCACTTAAGTCTTGAATCCCTCAAAGTCATTGATGTGGGTTGGAATCAACTTCTTCCAAACTCCTTTTAATGAACCTAACTCCAGTAATGACCTCTTCCCATGAATCACGAATGTTCTTCATGGCATCTAGAATGGTGAATCCTTTCCAGAAGGCTTTCAATTGACTTTACTCAGACCCGTCAGAGGAATCACTAATCTATGGCAGCTGTATATAGATAGCCTTACAAAATGTATTTCTTAAATAATAAAACCTGAAAGTTGAAATTACTACTTGATCTATGGGCTGCAGAATGGATGTTGTGTTAGCAGGCATGAAAGCATCATTAATCTCATTGTACATCTCCATCAGAGCTCTTGGGTAACCTGGTGCATTATCAATGAGCAGTAATAGTATGAAAGGAATCTTGTTTTCTGAGCAGTAGGTCTCAATAGTGGGCTTAAAATATTCAGTAAACCATGTCATAAACAGATGTGCTGTCAATCAGGCTTTGTTGTTTCGTTTCTAGAGTAGATTTAGCATAATTCTTAAGGGGCCTAGGATTTTCATAATGCTGAATGAGCAATGACTTCAACTTAAATTCACCAGCTGATTGGCCCCTAACAAGATAGTTGGCCTGTGCTTTGAAGGTTTGAAGCCAGGCATTGACTTCTCTTCTCTGACTAAGAAAGTCTTAGATGGCACCCTTTTCCAGTATAAGACTGTTTTCTCCACATTGATAATCTATTGTTTAGTGTAGCCACCCTCGTTATTTATCTTAGCTAGAGCTTCTGGATAATTTGCTGCAGCTTCTACATCAGGACCTGCTTCTTCCTCTTACACTTTTATGTGATGGAAATGGCTTATTCTCTTAAACTTCATGAACCAACCTCTGCTAGCTTCAAATTTTCCCCCTGCAGCTTCCTCACCTTTCTCAGAAATCACAGAATTGAAGAGAATTAGGGCCTTGCTCTGAATTAGGCTTTGGCTTAAGGGAATATCGTGGCTGGTTTGATCTTCTAACCAGACTACTAAAACTTTCTCCATATCAGCAGTAAGTCTGTTTTGCTTTCTTATCATTCATGTGTTCACTGGAATAGCACTTTTAATTCTCTTCAAGAACTTTTCCTTTGCATTCATAACATAGCTAACTGTCGGTGCAAGAGGCCTAGTTTTCAGCCTATCTCAGCTTTCAACATGCCTTCTTCGCTTAGCTTAATCATTTCTAGCTTTTGGTTTAAAGTGGGAGACATGCGACTCTTCTTTTCACTTAAGCACCTAGAGGCGATTTTAGGGTTATTAATTGCTTAATTTCAATATGGTTGTGTCTCAGAGAATAGGGAGGTCCAAGGAGGGGAGAGAGATGGGGGAAGCTGCCAGTTGGTGGAGCAGTCAGAACACACACATTTACCAATTAAGTTTGCGATCTTATATGGGCACAGTTCATCATGCCACCAAACAATTACAATAGCTGTATCAAAGATCCCTGATCGCAGATCACCATAACAAATATAGTAATAATGAAAAAGTTAGAAAGTACAGAATGTGACACAGAGACACAAAGTGAGCAAATGCTGTTGGAAAAATGGTGCTGACAGTCTTGCTCGAGGAAGGGTTGCCACATACCTTCAATTTGTAAAAACGGCAATATCTGTGAAGCACAATAAAGCAAAGCGTAATAAAATGAGGTATACATTTATCTGTATATTATAGCTAATGACTTGTCTTATAGAAGATAAATCCTTATTTTAGAAGGTCCAGAGTATTGAAGAGAAGACCCAAAGGAAGCAAAATTTCTTTCTGCTAACGTAGTGCATACAATACTAGGAAAATGGAGGGGAGGGGGGAGAATGCATATGCAAAAAGTGTAATCTCAAAACTGACATGTATTACAAAATGAATAATCATGAAACACACAATATAAGAAAAACCATTCAAAGACATAAGAGAACTATGGGTGAAGAATACAAAACAAGATAAATTATTTACTAGAATTTTAGGAGTAAAAGTTTTATTGATGTTTCTGCTTGATTTTAACTTAGATATGAGAATATAGCTTCATAATGTTTATGAAACTGGTGTATTTATTGCTTTAGTCCTATGCAACCCAACTGAAATGACATATCTGATATTTTGTGGCTTAATTGCAGAACATAATGCCCATTATAGTTGTTGCAGAAACCCTTTAATATTTTAGGTTGTGATGACAATACAAAGGTACTTATCTCAAAGTACTATATTTTGATATGCTTCTTGACTTTCCCCTCAATCATTTTAAATGGAGAGATATAGAAATGAAAGTTCTCTGTTCCTTGTTCTCATGTGATAACTGTTAAGGTGAGACTCAGAGTGTATTAGGAATATATGGTCTTAGTGACACATGAAGAAAGTAATGCCCATCTTCATGGAAGCAATCGAATTCTAATTAAACATGCTTTAATTAAACAATGTCATATATAGTAGTTTGAAATAAGGCATTATGTCTAGCCTTGCTATGTTCTTTTAACATTTAAAAAAAAATGTTGGAGGGATTATTGCTTTTAAGCTTCAGTAAATTCTAGAGGCTTATTGTTTCCTCATAATTCACCTGAGGATACCTGAGAGTTGACTTGTTCGTGGTCACCTACAAAGCCAGGAATGTGGCTCAATTTTTAATTTATAATCTACTGTCTTCTTTCTAAATTCTACAGAATTTATTAATTAGCAATAGAAAATAAAACAAAACAGATTTTATCTTTAATAGCCTACTAGTTTAGTCAAACTTGCTCTGAAATGGAAAGATTAATAACAATTATAAGATTTCATCTTTGCTCATCATCTCTTGATGAATTGTTAGTGTGATTTCTGATCAATAAGAATATTTGTCTTCTTTTTGCTCATATGGACTGTAAAGGAAAATAGTTATGCAGAGTGGGTGGTTACCTATTGTAATATCAGTATTTAATCTAACATAATAATGTTTATATATTCTCCAAAGATTCTCACAAGGATTATATACCTAGATGGATAAGAAGCTGATTGCTAAAAGAGAGAATTTGAGAAACTAAAAAACACAAAATGAAGACATATGACTGAGGCAGATGAGAAAAAAATACAGAGAATTTTCAATTTCATTTTCAACCAGTCAGAAAGGCTGTATAGAACAGGTTGCATTTCCTACAGAAGAAAAATAGGTATTTTGATTATCTGGCAAAGAGAAGGCATTTTAAAAGCAATTTTGATTCATTTGTAGACTTATAATAATTTTAGACTTTGTATTTTTCAATTTGCTGTTAAAATATAATTAGAAACAAATGTAAATTTTCTCCTCTGCTTTAAGAACCTGGACATTTAACATTTCACTTTAACAATACCTTTCTTACAGTGTCATTTCCTTTTGTAATCATTAGACATTTAAAAAAAATTTTTCCACTTTCACAGGAAAAAAATTAGAAACAGTATCATAATAACTGACAACTCAAAGGCAACAAAGGGGCCCCAAGTTGCAGATAGCTAAATAAACATAAAAGGAAAGTTACATACTGCTCCTAAGAAAAATTAAATTATAGCTGTAAAAATACAGACAGCTCAGTCTGTATTATCTTTTGTTGATCCAACAGCTTGTTGCTATGATAATACTGACGATTATAAATACAGTCCTTTCCCTTCTGCCAATGAAGCTATCATATCTTCCTATGAAAGTCACAAGTGAGAGGTGAATTGACATCCTGGGTAGGAAATTGAATAGAAGCAAGAAATCAAGTAGAAATTCAAATCTCTCCCCTGACTCTCACAGGAACATATGAAAGTGACTTCTATTATGGCAAGATTTTCTGAGAACATTAAATTAGAATTTTAAGGGCATGTTTATTTCAAATCAATACGACTCAAGAGATTGATGCCTTTTGAGAATAATGCATGGTGTCATTCTGAATAGGCAAGCCATACTTATGAAATGTCCTAAAGAACAAAGAATAGAACAGGGGGAAATATTAAATTTACTTTTATTATGAAATCTTCCCAGAATTTAACTTAATTTAAAATGAAAATAATTCCATCTTCGTTATTTTTTATAATCATTGCCGAATGTTTATTGAGTGCCTTCCAAGTATGGAACAGAGAATTAAGTGTTGCCAACCCAAAAAGATATGGTAGTCTCTACCTGCAGGGGCACACTATATGGTTGGAAAAGAGAAAGTTAAGTTTCAATCGACAGATGTTCCTATTACTTATATTACTCTCTTGCCCTCTTTGGAGCCATACAATCCTAACAATTCTTTGGGCTTTCATTTAATACAGATTGTTATTTCTTCTTCTTAGGACAAGGCAAGACAGTGAAAATTTTTTGGAAAATCTACCTCAAATCTCAGTGCATCAAACCCCTCAGTGTCCTCAGCAAAAACACCAGGTATCAGTAACTCGCTACTGAAATCAGAAATTAATGGTCAATATATTTTGGTTTAAGTTTGTGCTATAGTATTAGAAGTCTCCAATCTAGAGTCATTAGAGAAAATGAGAAAACACTTTAAATAAAACCTATTTTTTAAAAGTTATATCATTTGCAGAATATGAATCACACTGTGTAGTCACCTAGCAACTATTTACTTGATATGGAATTTTAACCTAAAATGGATATTTTTCCCATGACTAAATTCCATTTCAAGTCTATCATGTCTAATTAATTTCCACATGAGTACCCTGATAGAAACCATAATAAATTAAACTAGGACAGGCAGGAGGCAGGTCTGCTTATAGCACAAACTGCAGTGGGAACCATAGCACAAGATGCTGGGTCGTACTAGCTGACTCTGGACATGGTAAGGATATTATTTCATGGACCATGTTCAGAATGAGAAGAAAATCCATGGGAAATGTTACTGGATTAATGAGAGAAAAACTTGATGTGCCCATTGTCCTCTACTTCTCTGGGCTTCCCTGTGGCACAGCACTGTAATGGTCTATTTTCTACCCAACTAAAGTGTAGACTCTTCAAGTTAGTAGAGTCTATATCACTTTTCAAGAGGTAGGCAAAGTGCTTAGACCATAGTAGATCTCAAAAATGCTTAAATGGAAGAATGAGATGAGTATCTAAGGTGGTATGATAGCTATCAGAGACATAATGAGCAAATAGTAGATAATGTCATAGGATCTTGAGACCCATGATTTTAGACAGTCTGGCATAATTAAGGAACAAGAAGTGTAGAAGCTTGGTATTCATCTACAGCTGGCAAATTACTAACCATGATCTTCTAATTTGTTGAATAAGTATTTTATGAATGCTGAAAGAAAGAACAACTCTGAAGCAACCCTGACATTCATAATTTGGAGTTATGAAGTTTTGCTCCATCACAAATTATCTCATGTATTCTGAGTGAGCTGGTGAGTCACTTAGCTGGTGACAGAGCCTAGCCTTGAACATCCCAGCTGATGGTTTGTCGTAGCTGTGAGCCCTGAGAGTTTGCCCCTCTCAGCCCTCAGGCTGTAATATTCTCTACGTCTCAAGATACAAAAAAGAGAGAAAACACCAGCTTAGCCAATCATTTACTATCTACCTCTCAGAGCAACTTTGATTTTTCTCTGTACATACTTACACAGCAACCCTCACAAACGGATTTTCAGTGTGAAAATTGCAATGGGGGAAAACTTTTCATTGAAAGTTAAAAAGGTTGTGAGATGATAAGAGGAAACATTATGCTCTGGAAATGGCATTTAGATGAAAGCTAGGAGCCTGTGCGAACATTGTGGTATACATAAGTTTCAGGTTTCAAGACAATTTTGAGATTTATCTTTTTCATGAATTTCACAAGCTTAATGTTTATGAAAGAATAAAGGAAAGAACATTCGGGAAACAGAGGAGATGTATTTATTGAACACCCACATCAAAGGCTCCTATGAAGCACTTGTCTTGCAAAGGAAGTGGTAATTTAACAAAGTTCAGAAAAATCTGGCTCTTTTCCAAAAGTACAATAAACAAGAGATCTCTTTTAGTTTAGATAAAATCAGACAAAGAAAAGATAAACATTGAATAAACTGGCACCATGATTTCTAAATATAGAAAAGTAACAAAAGGTAGAAATTATAAGAGAAAGAAGACACAAATTCAGAGATAAAGCCAAAAGCAGTGAAAGTTTAAATAGGAAATAGAGTGTCATAATCATTAGAATTGTCCATTACACTTGTACAAATTATACCAGAAATTGTCATTGGATTTGAAGGCACATACAGATCCAATCAAGTAACATAATTATATGCATTTTCTTCAAAAATATGAATATTATACTTGTGCTGCTCATCAATAATACTTATAGGTCTCCTGTACACCTGTCAAATTGTCCTTGATTATTTAAACGTATAATGACAATTTTCCCAATAGGCAGAAAACTTCAAGAGGTAAAGACCATGCCTGACTTGTTCACTGTGCGTAATACACAGTGTGACACAGAGTAGACACTTAAAAAAATACCTTATTGAACTTATGATCTTGATTGGTTCTGTGAGGATTCAAGTATAAACAGCGCCATCTTGGACTATCATTAAACATTTTAAATCTGAAAAGTAAATGGAGTTCTGACTCCTAGGCCTACAAAATAGGTTTGCTTTGAGCTGAAGAGATCCAGGAAACAGAAAGGGAGAAATGGCATCTGGCAGGAGTGTTCTCACTGGGCTGCTCAGATGCTGGCTTGCTCTCTGCTCCTACCTGGGCATATTTAAATCCAAACCTAGCTAAAAAATTAAATTCAACTGCATGAATGACTTCTTATTCTTTCAATCTAGGGCATTTATCTTAGTGGTTCTCGAAGTGTGGTTGGTCACGCAACATCATCAGCATTACCTGTAAACTTGGTAGCGATGCATATTTTTCGGCCCCAGATCAGTCTACTCAGTCAGAAACTGAGGATGGGGCCCAGCAATCTGTGTTTAACAAGCTTCCAGGTGATTCTAAGTCAGGGTAAAGCTTTAGAAACCCCCAATACTAGGTGAAGTGAGGATTACTGTAAATATAGTCTTTTATGAATTATCATCCCACATCTTGTTAGGGACTCCACAATAAGCAGTGTTGTAACTCTGGCTATGGCAGCCCCTGCAGCATCTGGACTCCAAGACTTTCAAAGGCCATATGAGTAACAACTGCAATTGTGCTTCTTTGATTCTGGAAGAAGACAGATAATTTTAAAGTATTATGGATTGCATATACACTAGATCTAATAATCTATGCTATTTTCAAATACTTTTTAGAATAAAGGAAATATATTGGTAGTTATAGGACTTTACCAGTTCTACCTATAACTCCCTGTGAGACCTTTGTTCTCCAGATTCCTCTTTTTTATAACAACACGTTGCACATTTTTAAAGCATGCAATTCGATTAGTTTTCACATATGTACACACCATGAACCACCACTACAATCAAGATAATGAATATATCAAAAACTCCCAAAGGGGCCTTGCAATCATTCCCATCCAGCTTTCCCTGTCCTTCTCCCATTTCCAGACAACTGACATGTTTTCTGTCTTTCTCCCTCACATAGATATCAATTAAGGGAGAGCTGACATCCTAACAAAATCAAGGCTTCAAACCCAAGAGTATAGTTTATCTCCATTTACTTAGGCATTCTTTAATTTCTCTCAGCAATGCACAGGGAGCTATACTTAATATTTTGTAATAATCTATAAGGGAAAAGAATCTGAAAAGAATATATATATATGTGTGTGTGTATATATATATATATATATATATATATGTAAAACTGAATCACTGTGCTGTACACCTGAAACAAACACATTGTAAATCAACTATACTTCAATAAAAATATATATTTATATTAAAATAAATAAAAGTGAGCACATACTTCTACTAAAAACAAAAAAAAATTGCATTAGTTTTAGGTGTACAACATAATAATTTGATATCTATTGCAAAATGATTGCTACAATAAGTTTAATTAATATCTATTACTACACATAGTTACAAATTTTTTTCTAAAGAAAAGTATTCTTTTTTCAATTTTATTTTCTGAACAGTTGTTGCTATGGTAAAGAAATAAATGTTTGTATATTGGTCTCTTATTCTGCAACCTTGATAAACTCATTTAACGATTGTAGTACATTTTTGTATATTCTACCAGATAAGGATTGTTATATTCTCTTGAATTGATCCCTTTACTATTATGAAATGAACATTTTAATGCCTGGCAATAGTATTAGTCAGAACTCTACTTTGTCTGATACTCATATGGATAGTCTAGCATTCTCTAGTGTTAGCATTGAATCCTTTTCAGAGATTCCAGTTACCTTTTAGTAGACCCTCATAAATTGTCCCAAGGATCACTGACCCTTTGTAATTTATTATTATTACTATCTTTTCTCTTAGTGTGTCATTTTGGATAGTTTCTATTGCTATATCTTTTTAAGTTCTCAAATATTTCTTTTCACAATTTCTAATTTGCTTAATCTCATCCAGGGTATTTTTCATCTCATACATCAGAGTTTTTATATTTAGAAGTTGAAATTGGGAGGTTTTTATATATTCCATGTCTCTAGTTAACTTTTTGAACATATGTAATATAGTTATAATAACAGTATTAATGTCCTTGTTTGCTAATTTTAACTTCTATATCAGTTCTAAATCAGTTTCAATTTATTGCTTTTTCTCCTCAAGATTGCTCATGTTTCTTACCTCTTTGCAAGTCTATAATGCTTTTGTTTTTGTTTTTTCCAGTCATTGTGAATTTTACCCTATTGAGTTCTTGATAGTTTTGTTTTTATATAACTATTTGTGATCTTTGTTCCATGATGCAGTTAAGTTACTTGCAAATAGTTTGTTCCTTTCAGGTCTTGCTTTTATATTTGTTAAGCAGGATCAGAGCAGTGCTTAGTCAAGACCAAAGATTCCCAATATTCAGGCAAGTTTCTTTTGTGTACGCTACCCAACACCATTTGAATCATGAGGTTTTCCAGTTTGGCTGGTGGTAACAGGCATTACTCCCAGTCTTGTGTGAGTGCTAGGCACTGTTACTCCTAACACTACTATCACATGATTCTTTCCTCAACCCATTGTATAATCTCCTTGCATGCATGTGTTGGTCAGCATTCAGCTGCATACTCTAGAGGTATCTTTGCCAGATTTCTGGGGCTCTCTCTCTCTCTCTTTGCTGCTCTCTTCTTTCTGATACTCAGTACTGTAGACTCTAGCCACCTAAGTCTACCCACACTCACAGCGCCATCTCCTAACACAGAGAGTCTACTCAGCTCCTACTGGATCTTTCTCCCTTGGCTTGGAAAATTTGAAGGAAGTAGGTGGCAGCATTCACTGTGCTCACCTTTTTTGTTTCCTATTTCTCAGCTACCACTATCCTTCATTGTCTGATGTCTAGTGTCTTGAAAATTGTTGTTTTGTTTTAAATATACA